TATGAAATCATACATCACATAATACGATTGTTTACAAGGTCTACTCGTCAGCGAATACAATTGACATATTCCGGTGACTTCTGGATCTTTGATATTTGCGCTTGAACATGCGAAAAGAATATATTGAGAAAAATACGCGTACTTGCTCACCAAAATCGCAGAGTAATCGAAATCGTGTCTTGTTTTAGTTAAAGCAAAGTCACGGCAGCAATAATGTTGAGCAGCAAAACTGCGTAGAGCTTTATCGCAGTAACGCAAGGTGTGAAACATTTGAAATATCACCAAAGTAAGATCAGTATTTCCATTAATGAGCTTTTTAAATGTCTGAAGGTATCGAAATCATTGTTAACATGCCACATGACTTATATCACGACAAGTGTTTAGCATCATTGACATCCGCTACCCGTGCATACTCGTGAGACGTGTTGACCACCGATTTCATTCAAACTTGAATCGATATTCATTTGTGCTGTTGACGAAACTTGCCGAATGAGCAGACCGAAATAAAGTAACAATCAAAAGCACATTCCGCGGTCTATGTTGGTGTAGCAGCAAAGGTTTATCAATCAATGAACAGCTTTGTAGAGTTGCATTTGAAGCGAATTTCGTTGTTTTATCCATGCGTGACAGAGTTGAGTTTTGTTTGGACATTTCTGTCCTATTCCTTGGTTGTCAGACCTTCCAAACTGTAAATCAAATTGTTCGTTCTAGCAATCTAAAGTCAGCGATATATTTCTCATCTTCACTATCAAACTCTCAAATTTCCAAATGTAAATGTTAAATGGAACAAAAACGAAATCACTCCACGACTCGAAAAACCATCTTGCGTGAATACACTTCACAAACTCCAGCTGGACCGAAGACTCGGCTTCGATAACGAGAGTAGAGTAACGTGAGGAAGAAAGCACCAGCAAATTTGAACCATACTCCGCATATCAGCAGGTGACCACGAATGATGAGTAATCTGGAAAGCTAATGCATTGTTATTGCATTTACTTCTTCGTTAAATAAAAGTACACAATATATCACTCTTAAAAACAACGAAAAGCAAAAAAAAGTACTATATTACTTGAGAAGTTGACTTACCGTTCATATAAGCTTTCGTTGCATCGATATACCTTTCACTATCATCGACAGCAGTTTGTTTGGGCATCAAAAATTGCTAATCTGAGCGGTGGTACCGAATTAACGAATGATTAAAACGTGTGATAATCTTGTACAAAGGTAGCTAGTCTTGCGGCAAGCGCTTTGCGGAAAGGCGAACTTGATGAGCTAAGCGCTGCATGCAGCGCCTTACCACTTTCAGTTTGGTAACGTGAAGGCACAACCACCTCAACCTCGTAGTCGCCATCGCAGTCCGAGCTCAAATCCAAAAACCTGAGCTCGCCAGCTGTTGAGGTGTTGTCCTGCTTCAATGTGCACGCCAGTGTAAAGGTAAAATCGAAAATGTAGCGCTTCGCACCCCGTACAACGGCAATCGATGCATCCCCCTCTAAATTTGATACTTCTAACGACGTAATGACATCCTGACCATTTCCAAAAGGCACCGAAACTCCAGACACAACCTCCTTGATCTTGCTCTTGGCCCATGACGTCATGTCTTTTTCCTCAAAGGTGTTGCCCTGGTTCCAAGCAGATCCTCCATCTACGCTCTTAATCTGCACCTGATTGGGGTTTTCCAACCTTTTCGGAGCGATGTCACCAATGAGCTGTTTAGCCTCATCAGTGAGTTCGTTGTTAAAGAACGTCGTAACTCGACCATCAGCCAACTTTTTGTATCCACGAAAGTGGCCACTAAACTCAACATCATCATCAGTGAACGAGTGACTGGTAGTGGATGGTTCTGCTGCAGAAGGTGGGCTGGTCCGCGGTACTTCCACGCGAGTCACCACCTTTTTAGGTACAGGGGCAGTCGGAATCTGCGTCTGCTCCCTGGCCATTTCTTGAACTTTATCAAACAATGTGGTCGTCGATTTGTTACCAGGTTCAAGTTTTTTGGCCGTGTCCAATACTGCTAATGCTTCCTTGAAGCGGCCAAGCTTTACCAGTGCCTGAGCCTTGCGAAAAAAAGCCTTAGCGTACGTACTCACCAGTGCTATTGAAGCATCAGCGTCCTCCAGCGCCTCATTCACCTTACCCATTGAACAACGTGCTGCAGAGCGATTGGCGTAGAAAATATGCTGGTTCTGGAATGGATTGCTCGTGTTTACGGCAATAGCGCGTGAGTATAGTACCTCAGCCTCTTCCAGTGCATTTTGTTGGAAGGCTGCGTTGCCACGGCGTTTAAGTTCAGTCAAAAGGCTGCTAAGATCCGCAGGGTCAGAGGGCACAGGTCCGTGTAACACGTCGGAGTGACGAGAAAAAGGTAGCGCAGAGTCTCCTCCAAACATTATTATTGACTATATTAATTTGATGGACAATTGATTAGTGACATCAATGCAAGGCAGAATACAATAATCACCAGTGATAGCTTCGAGAATTTTCGAAAATCTAGGTAGAATTTTCACAGCAAAATCTATTTAGGTAAATATGACATTTCCAGCTTAGCAGGTAATTATGCGCTTTCGCTTTACCGGTCCCTCCCGTGTCGCAGTGTCAGCGCTTTCGTTCTTGCCAGCTTCAAGCCTCCTCTTTCTAGCGGCCTCAGAGCGAGCTGCTTGACGCAATGCCTCTTCCTCCTCCATCTTCTTTTTCGCAGCTACTTCTTGCTTCCAGATTGGCAATCGCTTCTGATACTTCGTACCAGCAATATGCTTTTTAACACAAGTCTCATCCCGGATGATAGCCGACTCCGTCACCGTACACCACAATAGTTCCGGCTTGGATTTGTCTGAGTGATCCACAAACATCGGTGCGTACTTTGCAAAGGAGAGTTTGAGATTGCGAGCTTTTTGGTAGCGTTTTCCGCGAATGTAGGTATTTATAGTGTCCAGGTCTGCCTTCATCTCGTGTCCCGTGATGGAGCATCGCACGCGCGAGTCACTGACAAATTTCAGGTCTGCATTTGAACTTAATAAAGCCTCCACAGTTTCACAAGCCTTGATATCCAGGTGAGCTGCCGCTTTATTATTCACAAATAAACTCTCGTCTTTGGAATCAACCGGCTGTTTTGTGGGAGGCGATAGAGCTTTGTTAACAGGATCCATATCTCTTGTCGACGTACCTTCCTTTATTTCAAAACCCGGTGAAGCGTTACCGAAGTTAGCCATTTTTCTTTTCGAAGTGACTATCTTCTTTGATGAAGATGGTGAAGCCTTAACTTTGGGTTTAGGACTCTCAATGTTAGTATGATTGGACTTGATGGTGGTGTCCACCAACACTGGCTTGTCATCTTTGATCGGCTTATTGTTCGTCGTAAAATCTGCTTTCATGATGTTCATCTTAACGCCGTCTATAGGAGTAATTGGTTCGTCCTCTTGCTGCATCTTGTCGCTTTCGGTCTCATTGACGTTAGATTTCTTCTTGACACTCACATTCTTTGGCTTCGAGAGCGTCTCCTTTTTAGCAATTGGCGATGTTACAGGAGTCACGATGTCAATGCGGCCCAATACACCTAGCAACATCTGCTCACCGTCCTTTGGGTGACAGTCAAGGTATCGCTTAGCGTGGCTTACGATTACGTCTGACTTTGAGTTGCCTCTGCACAACTGCAACTCCTTAGCAAGCGCTTGCAGCCCGCGGCGTGATGCAGATTTTAGAGCTTCTAGTGCATTACTCATTATTGCTGATGATGTGCGCAATTCACTCTCTACCAGTCGACGTCAAAATTCTGATTTAAGGACTAGTTTTAGTGTGGTTCTGAGACCTTGACACACCAAATATGACTAACCATAGGCTTGAGCTGAGCCATCAGCCGTGAATGTCATCGCTACTATGCCACACCCGCCACTTGGCTCTGCGCCACTCTTCTGCCCGCACCATAGCCACTGTCGCCTCTGATCGGCCTTTTCGCGTTGGAATCGTAGGTGCCGGACGTATTGGCCAAGTGCATGCTCAAGGGATACAGCGCACAAGTGCTGTAGTTCACTGCATTCAAATACCGGCTCGCGTGCGTAGATTAAATGTAGTTGCTGCTCAGTATGCGCAATCTGAATGTTTTAGAATGGTTTATGTAGGAGAATTTGCCCCACCGCGCCGAGAAAATCGCCAAAAAATTTGGTATTCCCCATTGGACCAATGACGCATCTGAAGTCCTGAGTAATCCAGAGATTGACGCAGTGCTCATCTGCTCGCCAACGGACATGCATGCAGAACAGATCATCGAGGCTGCAAAGCACCAAAAGCATATCTTTTGTGAAAAGCCCGTGGATCTTGCGCTTAACGTCGTCAACAAAGCTATCAAAGCAGTACGTAACATGGCAATTGTAAATTAGCAGCTTTTGAGATCCCACCAGCTATGTTTCCCTTTATCTCTGTCAGACGGAAGATGCTGGCGTAAAGCTAATGATTGGATTTCAGCGCCGCTTTGACTCTAATTTCCTTCGCATCAAACAGGCTATCGATCGCGATGAGATCGGAAAGGTTAACATGCTTCGCATCACAAGTCGTGACCCCGGTCCGCCACCTGTGAGCTACATCAACAGCTCGGGTGGATTGTTTCGAGACATGACTATTCATGACTTTGATATGGCGCGTTTCCTTGTTGGCGACGAAATCGAAGAGGTCTACACGATGGCCCAGTGCGTCAACCCAGACATTGCTGCCGCGGGTGATATTGATAGTGCCGTTGTGCTACTAAAGTTTTACAACGGTGTGATTTGCTACATTGAGAACAGTCGTGAAGCCGCATATGGATACGATCAGCGCGTGGAAGTTTTGGGCTCCAAGGGCTCTGTTCGTTGTGGCAACGCCTACGCCAATCAGGTGGTAGTGTCTACGAACGAAAGCGTGCATCGCGACTTGCCGGTACATTTCTTCCTTGAACGCTACATGGATGCTTATGTCGCAGAAATGAAGGAGTTTATTCGTGTTTGCACAAGTAACGCGCCAGTTTCTGTGGGCGGTGATGCTGGTCGTGAGGCTCTTTTGTTGGCCCTTGCTGCAAACAAGTCTCTGGCAGAAAATCGCCCTGTCAAGGTTGACGAGCTTCGTGCTTAATTTAAACCTAAGCTGTAATGGATAGATCACACTGCAAGTACAAAATTATTTTTTTTCAAATCTCACTGATCACTGAGATTAAAGTAATTATTTGTTTGTGATTCAAATAGAAAAATAGTCTTCCAAATCAATCCACTAAATATTTTTGCCAACGTTCTATCAGGATAGAAACATTGAGCGTACACCGCAACTTTTTTAGCCATCCGTTCTCATAGGTCGCATCATACCTCCATATGTGGACCTCCAATAGTGACTAGAATCTTAAATGTGGACATTGCACCGATCTTTGTATTGGTTTTTGTATGCTACCTTCAGTGGTGGAACTGGAACAAAATCTATGATCACGAAACACGGAATTCCCTCCATTTCTGAACACTCGCCTGACCGCGATCGAGAGTTTGGAGGCAAATAACCATGGGGGAGGCCAGCGACTGCTTACTCTGGACGAAAAACGCCAGAAGCAAGTACAAGTCAAGCACAACATGCAACGGGGCTGCCGTAGCTTTGCGCTTTGAGGAAGCGTAAGTTAGGTGACCGACCTTTCGTTCTATACTTAGAACACGTACGAGTTTTAGCGGATTGCGATCTGCTAGCTCCAAGAGTAATTATTGCCTTAACCCAAGCTTACTATTCTTCCGTTTATATCCAAAACTGACTTTATTAATTTTTATCTGCGGCAAAGCCGCCTAATTTTAGATGCATAGATTTTCCAAATATGTATAGTAAAATCTAGATGCATGCATAACTACTGGCTATCCAGCCCCGTACCATATTCATGTTTGGGTGTGGTCATACCATGCCCATCTGGTGTGACACACACCCCTGTTGCCAGGGTATGTGTAGCCCCGTTACACTCTCCCCATTAAGATTGGGAACATTTTACAGTTCCAATCGATTATTGCCTCAACGAGGCTTGCGTGTCCGTTAGACACTGCGTTGGAACTAAACGAATTCATGGCTCAATGAGCCCTGTGTCAATGACACCGAAATCTTCCTCGCTGGATCCGACAGTGCTCCCGGGCAGAGCCCAACTTCGTCTTCCGCACGCGTTGCCAAGTCGGACCGTGTGTCCGCGGCATCGAGGGATGATAATCCTAGGCTCAATGATCTCGAGCGTCAGGCTCCGCGCACGCTATCAGTGACAAGTGACCTCGTTGGGGATGTGGAGGTGGTCGACTACGAGTCTGACACTCCTAGTCCCGGGTGGAATGACGAGGAAGGCGAGCTGCGCCAGCGGCGTGAGACGAGCCGTGCTCGCGCCTTGCGGACCCCATGTCTGTTTCCTGACCTCTCATCACCTGAGGGACGTGATTTAATCACCAATGACCTCGATTAGGCACAGAAGCGGCAGCTGGAAGCTGCTCGTAAGGCGGCTCTGATGCGCGCACATCCACGGCCGGTCATTGACACTCATGTGAAATATGGCTTCCGCCCGGCGAATCCCGCTGTAGAAGCAAAGGATGTGGTAACTCGATCGTTACGCCTCCACATCATCGGGGCCCCGGCCATCACGTAAAATTAGCTTGCCAAATGGTAAGCTCTCTGAGCTCGTTTCTTGGTTCCACAAGAACTTCCGCTGCGTGCTCAACGAGGTGGCTCTCATGTACCCGCAATGCAGACGATACCTGTAGTGCTAACTTCCGGTGAAAGCGCTACAGATGACAAAGCGCTCTTTGAGCGATAGGTGCGACGGCACCGCAAACTTTCCTCACTGTGTGCCTTACGGTTGAGCCACAAGGAAGTGGACGCGCGTGTGGAGTGCCACCTCCGATTTGAGTTTGCCAAACTCAAAGCACGCCGTCGACTCCATTCAGATTGTCGCCCTGCGACGTATGGGTCAACCCCCAACGCTCCTGCGTGATCGGAGCTCCGCTGAGCGTCATGCTGAAGTTGCATATCGTTGTGCGGACGCTCTTGATGATTTGGAGCGCGTTGTGCGCCGGCTGCCACACCTTGAGGGCTACCGCGCTCTGTCGGAGCGACTCCTAGCCGTGGGGCAGGCGAGTGCATCGCTGCAGGCAACGGTGGGGCGCTTAGCTCCATTTGAGGTGGAGGTTGTTGCACTCCGTGCTCAGAACCAGTTGCCGGTTTAGTTTCTGGGTGGCCGGCCGAGGCCCGTCGGATCCGCTCTGGCGCCCAACGCTACCGCGTTCACATGCGCCGGATCCCGATACGGCTTGAGCAAGCCTTCGTAAAACACCGGGTGGGTGCGCATCCGTTTGGGAAGGTTTAGCGTATACGTTAGGACCCGCTAGGCCACAACCTTAATGGGTCCAATAAACCGTGGATAAAGATTCGTCCGGAAAATAGCAGAGGATGCATGTGTAGATGGGTTTTCGGAGTTTAATAAAACCGGGTCTCCGACCTTAT